AACACCGAGAACGGAATGGTCCCAAATTAACTGTCTAGTTTTATAGAATTCTATTTTCTTGATTTATAGAAATCGATTTAAAAGTTCACTGAATACCGAACATAAGGCCTTTCTGTCCCGGTCTGCATTACTCCGAAGAGTCTACATCTTTTGTGTGATAGGGCCTTACAGTCATATATGATGTGGGAAGCTGTTTCCTCTTCCTCTCCACATAATCTGCAATCACTGGGTTCATTGAATAGTGGTGCCGCGAGACGAGACTAGACGAGACTTAGGGTTGGTCTCGTCTCGCCTCGACATTTCGAGACGAGACCGTGATTTAGTCTCGGTCTCGAGTACCAAAGTCTCGTCTCGTCTCGAGTGGTCTCGAGTTATACAGGGTGTCCAAAAAATAGTGTAAAAACTCTTCTCTACGTGGTGGAGGACCCTACAAGGAACCCCAAAAAAATACTTTAAAAAATCTAGTGGCATTCTTAAGAAAGTTAATTGCATTTCAATATTTATTAAAATTGGCAACACTGAAAATATTCCGTTGACAATATGTCAGAGAATTAAATTAAATACCCATGTAACTACCTGAAGAATTCGAAGGTGAATTTTCACATCTACCTCTTCATACTACCAAGAATAATGCTGGAGAAGGATTTTTTTAATTTAATTATTTTTCTAGGGTTTCTCAAAGGGTCCTCTATTACGTGGAGAGTTTTTAAGTTAGTTTTCGGTATTTATGGTTTTTGTTCTTATACCACAGATTACCTACATACAGATGCGAAAGAGCGGCGAATTCGTGGTTCAAGATTAATTTGATAGACATAATCTGGCCGCACCAATGCCACATCAATGTATCTTGAACATATTTATTATATAAATGCGGATGCTCAATAATATAATATTATTTCTTTAATTGGTTCACAAACAGCAAAAAAATATGTAAACACACAGGCTGGAACATGCTCACGCACTCAGCCACGTTAATTGTCCTGATGCGGGCGATCTTTATCTACGCGTGGGGGTGCTGGCAGCCCGGCTTCGTCACAGAATATCGTCGACAGCAAGTATACGTACTTACGCATCTGTATTAGGTGATCTGTGCTTATACTATAACAGAAGTCCAAACTGCCACAGTGAAAAAGCAATTAGTGAAAATTCACAGTAAAGAGTAACCCAGATATTTAATTTACTGATTTCATATTCAAATAGCCCAGAATAGTCCAATAATAAAGCTATAAAAAACTTTTTTTAAGTGTAATCTCGAGACTCGAGACTACACGAGACTCTCGTCAAGTCTGTTCTCGTCTCGTCGAGACTTCACGAGACGAGACCAAAAGCGAGAATCGTTTCGAAAAGTCGAGACTAGACGAGACGAGACCAGTCTCGAGTCTCGCGGCATCACTATCATTGAATATCCCCATTCTGTACTGATGCTTCCTTAAGTGACAGTGTCCTGTCAATAGGCAATAGGCCTATCACTTGTCTCATCTGTGTGCGCGTGAGTCGTAGATCGTCAGTTGTTAGTTTCGTTGAAGGGTTGGTACCTACATCTTCGTGCAATGCTTTGTTAGATGCACTCATGTATAGCGAAGACTTCTGTTTGATATAGTGGTTTTACACTATCTCTGCAGACTTCTTAGTGCTGTCTGCATGAATTCTCCTGTTCGACTGGTGTCTCTTCCATGCACGACTATGACCACGTCGTCGGCATACCCTTAAGTGGAAACCCTCTGAGTTGAGACGCTGTAGTAAGTCATCAACCACCAAATTCCATAGAAAGGGTGATAGTACTCCCCCCTGTGGACAATATCAATTTTCAGATACCTCCGTATGGAGTGGCTCGAATCTGTCAGCCTTGGAGCATGTTTCGTATCCACCTACAAGTAGTGTCGTCAATTCCATGTCTTTTAGCCGCTTTGACCATCGCAGCAAAGAAGACGCAGTCAAAGGCCTCTTGAATGACAATGGATGCACACAGAGCGATCTCTTTGAGATAAATGAATTTCTCAGCCCAGATGAGACTGTGCAGTGCTGTTTCGCAAACTTGCCTGCTTGATAGGCGTGTTGGTGTTCGTGGAGGGGTTTCTCAGTGAGCAATTCTTGCTTCTTGTTTAAATGAAATTGAGATTTTTTTCCTAAAAAGTCTCAAGAAAAATTCAAGCTTGGATAGGTTAGACTCTCAGGTCTGTCTTCAAACTTGTCCTAAATGGTGAGCCTTCGGTCGAAGAAGAAAATGTTATCAGTTTTTAGAGTTTCAATTCGAAGAGAGGCTTGTCAAATACAAGAGAATTCTCATGTAAAAATTGCAATAAAAATCGTCGTAGATGGCGCGGTGGGCGAAAACCTTTGAAGAAGGTTTCCCTTATGACGAACTGGGTTTTCTGAAAACTTTATTTGGCGCCCGGAGGAGTTAATCGTTGGCTCTCTCGTTTCCTTCTTCGTGCTCGTAAGCAGCTCGCACCAACAAAACTAGGAGTCGTCCACTGGCCTATAGCGATCCCGGTAGTGAGGGGACTCACGCAAAGTATTGTCAGCCTAATACGCGATCCAAGTGCAGGATAAGCAAATCACCACACCTCTGTCGAGAAAAATTAGGGGAGAGCTCTTCGTTTTCTCTGGCGCAGTGACCAGGGGCAGACAGGTGATATGAGGTCTCGATAGTCCGTATAGAACTGTTCTCTGTCTCTTATGTGCCTATCCATTATTTCCTCCACCCTTTTTAGAGAGAAAAAGTTTAGGCGGATTGGACGATGTGCCTTGGCTTCTGTGTAGTTTGCGCGTCTGGGTTTTGGAATAAACATCGCGTTTGCCGTCCTCCATGCCCATGGCACATTACTACACACAACGCACGATCGGTATACTCTACAGAGGCTTGAAACTAACAGTTCCAACCTGTGCTGCAACCGAGCCGGGAAAACCCCATCTGGTCCCGGGGATTTAAGAAGTTCCAATGTGCCGATGGCCCATTTGATCTTCTCATAGGTGATTGTCTTGATTGCAGCTACCCAGTCGGCTTTCCTAGTTCTATGTACCTGTTCAGGTGTCAGTTTTTTGTCCTGGTGACTGATTCTTGAATCTGGAAAGTGTGTTTAGAGCAACAGCTCCAGAGTTCCTTTTCCAGAAGTCGTATTCTCTTCCGTCGGGCGTTTCAACGTCCCATTGATATTACACGTGTCTTTTGCGAGAATTCTTTGGCAGAAATTCCTCCATGAGTCTCGCTTGGCTTTTCTTAGGGCTGTGCTGTAATCAGTGAGGGCTTGAGTGTATTGTGCTCAGTCTCCTGTCATCTTTGCCCTAATGAAGAGTTTTCTGGCTTTCGTTCTTAGGTTGCCCAAGTTACGGTTCCACCAGGGGATTTTCCTTCTTTGTCGTTTGACCTTGGGATGCCGTGATGATCGCATCCTGGAGCTGGTCCACTGACATATCAATGTCTATTCAGCGTGTGACTCAGGATTCTTCTTTTTAGGTGAAGGAATGGGAACTGATTTAATTCAATCTTTTGAAATATCCCCAGTTTCATATATTTTGTTGAAAAATTTTGTAACATGGGTTAAGTTTCTGTCGTCCAAAGCTCTCAAGAACTCTATTGGAATGTTATCGGGTCCTGTCGCCTTTCTGTTTTTCGAAATTTTCACAGCATACTCGACTATTGTAATTTAAGATCACTTTAGCTGATCCGTTCGTCTGTTTTCTTACGTCATCTTGTTCTGCTGCAAATAAATCTTTGATATAGTCTTCCCAAGTGTGTTTTTTGTCATCTTCTTTCAATTGGATCTCTCCTCTGATGTTTTTTTGTGAACTGATGTTTTTTTTTTCTTGGTGTTCCCAGTTAATTTCTTCAATTTTTCTTTGTAAATTAAGATAATCATGCTTATTATTCAGTGTCGAAATGTCGCCCTCGTGAAATGGAAGCATTTCACGAGGGCAACATTTTCGACTTCACCCTTGTTAACCTTGGTGTTGAAATCACCCTTCCAAGATAATGGTCTAGAGGCAAAATCGAAACATTAATCAATACCTCTCGCTGTTTGTGGAATGTGAATGAACACTGGCGAGTCTGGTATAAACTGGTAGGTACCTCTTTTCCTTCAGGCGTATAGAAGATCTCAGCATGATTTCACCGACCACGAATTGTCTTGTCTGGAAGAGAAGTTAACCTTTCTTGATCTAGATCTAATCTTTGGCAGACTACCAAGACGGAGCTGCACTTTCAGTTTGTGCCTGAGGATAGACTGAGAGTGGTTTACGTGCTCACGATTTCGCCAGGAATAGAGGTGATGGAATAAAGATGTGACTCGATATGCGGCAGTCACTGCTGCTGGATCGTTTGATCATTATTGTTGGTTTTACCCGTTGATGATAATCAAGGAAATGCAGACTTACCCAAACTAATCCGTTCGCTTGTAGTGGGTATAGTTCTCTTGAGCGCACTTCATTTTTTTAAATAAAATGCTAACTTACGAGGACTATATCGCACTATTCGCACTAGGTAGAAGTGTAGTTCTGCATTTTCTCAATATATTAACAAAAGTTTGAAACAATAAACGAAAACAGAGTGTAACTATCAAACGTTGATATTGAACTATCCATAGGAACTATCAAACCTCCAATGTGGCAGCCGTCATGCCGCATTTAAAACCGTTGTCAATGTCTGTCAGCATCTGAGCTCAGTGGTTTCAACACTCAGGTGTCCAAGTCTGTTGTGTGTAAATGAACTGTTTTTTCAAAACCTCACAGAAGTCAACACCCTAGTGTCAATACAAGCTAGCATCTGTAAATATGCGGCCCGGAACTACAAAGAGAGGAACTGTATAAGATTGCGAAGAAGATCAAGACTTGGTGTACAGTGCCCTTATTCTTGAAACAGGGGAGCAGCATTCCCAGGAGAACGAGTGTTCCGTATTTATCAACGATATGCAACTGATAACAAGTAACAAAGACGGAACTCTCGTTCTGCTGGGAATGCTACACCCCTATTTTAAGAATAAGGACCCAGGAGAAGGTGTCCGGGGAAAATAGCTCTAAGAAAGAGAGCAGTATGATAAAATAGCAGAGATCGCCTGTGGAACATCAACAATTACCTAACCTCTCTAACAACCAGTTGTTGTATCTCAAAATGACTTATCAATATCAATATAATATGTTGGTTAACAATTTTGACAATGACTGTTCTCAGTTGTCCGGTTGAAATAAACACAAAATTTCCAGTGTTTGAGCCCAATGCGATACATAGGAAAAACTTGAAAACCATACAAAATCACTGTTGAATCAATTTAAAAAAATGAAAAAAGGCTCCAAAGCAGAAAGAAGTCGAAGTGCACGACAGTCACGGTCCCGACAGAAAACCGTTATTCCTTCAAGGTATATTCATCAAAATATAGATTTATAGAAGATAAAGATTCAATTTTAAGATCGAGAAGCTTTGATCCACGGAGTCATTCCCCAACAAATGTTGAAAGACAACAATCCTATCATAGGCCTAAAGTAATACCTACTAATTTTTTTTAAGAATAACCATTTATTGAATTATGTACTATCTAATGTTAGGAATGTGTGGGTGGGCCCGATATCTACGGTACAATATTAGGACGTACCGTGGACGAGCAGATTCTAGCGGGCTTACAAGCCCTGTTCAATATATGCGGTGAATGTCGACAAGAGGAGTAAGGTAACATCGATTAACTTTTTTGGTTTTTAAAAGATCTTTCTAGAATGGGAGAAGTGCCTCTAGAAGATTCGAGTCCAAACGAACCTTTAGAACAGGGGGTGGAATCTGCTGCGGAAGATGTTGATTATGTTGTTAATAATAATTATGTTGAAGTTAAATCAGATATTTCTCATGATAGTGAAGCAGCTCCTGAATCGAGCATGGAAGATATTGTGCCCTCTCCAAGGTAAGAAGAGTCTATTATCTCTTGTTGATTTAATGCTGGTAAAATTTCCAGCGCGCGAAGAGAGGAGTCTAAACTAAAATCTACTACGCGAAGAGAGGAGTCTCAACTAAAATCTACTGCTTCTGATAGCATAGTAACTGTACTAAGCAATAAGACGCAAACCGAAGAAGAAATAAAATCAGAAGTTATTTCAGAAGAGTCACAAACCAGCAGCGAGCATTCTTGCCAATGTAAACCATCGACACACGATTGCGAATGTGGAACTACAAGAATTTGTTATTCGCCTGATGATCTCTGCGGACCGCATGATACCTTAAGTCAGTCTGATAGCCAGGAATCGAATGATCAGGTGGAAGCCTCCTCGTTGCATTATGAGCCGTCACATAATGGCTCTCAACATCAGAGGTTTTCACACCAGGGATCTCATCATAAGCCATCAAATTCTTCTCATCATAGTCATCATGGATCAATAAAACGCGAACCATCTCATCAGTCATCCTTGAAACGTTCTTCGAACCATCATGTTGAAAAATCTCAATCACCGCATCATCATAATTTAAAAAATGGCCCTGAAACTCACTCTAGTAGTTCTTTAAAGAAAGTTACTCTAAGTTTTGATAAACACGCTGGAAGTGGTCATGAATTTGAAGCGCCAGAAACTCAAGAGTCTTATCCAGGCAAGAAAAGCAATAAACATGAGAATACATGCTATTGCAGATCAATCACAGCAAAAAGTGATATAAGCACTTCCACCGATGCTTCAAAACAATCCAGTAAAAGTACAAGTAGTAATGACATTGATACAAGAGTATGTTCAACTTCGTATACTTGTATTTCCAGAGACAACATTAGAAAAGATGGCTCTTGTCAGCCTGATAGTTGTCCCAAGGAAGCAGCGTCAACGTCAACGTCTTCCTTGAGCCTAAACAAACCTAAATCTGCTATAAAGCAAACTGATTGTTGTAGTAGATGTCAAAAAAAGAAACCAACGCCTAAAAAAGTGGCTTTATGTGAATGTGATACTTCCGCTAGTTTAGATCAATCACAGTCAGGCGATGGTTCTCATGGTGAAGTCAGATATGCGATAACTAAAATAACTAAATTTACTAGCTATACGACTTATGAAGTGTTGAAGTCTACTGGGAAGAAGCCTAAAGTGATGCCTACGAGAGTGGAGGGAGTGTTTGTGTTAAAAAATAGGAGTTTTAAATAAATAATATAGTTTTGTTTTTGTTTAGTTTTTATTATATATCTTCTACTCCTTAGATTCAGTGGCAAGAAGGGCCCTTTCTTTTTTTTTTTGATAGGAAAGATATACCCGGACTTACCGACTAAAAACCTCCAGCATCTGCCTCCGGAACTGACGTTGTTGTGTTGATGCTTATCTCCTTTTCTCTTCATTTTTTTTCTTTCATAGTCTTCCTAAGCATGTCCGTTACAGCTAATGAAGTTTTTCTCCGAAGATATCATGAATTCTTCTATGTTGTTCTTTATTATTTCGCAGCTGTAACTCAGAGTCGCCTCTTATGCTTTCAAATCTGTAGTATTTGAAAATAGTATGTTCTAGTGAGTCCTGCTCCTCGCAGAACCAGCAATTATTAGTTTTGCCTAGCCTTCATAGTTCATCCATCTTGTTTGCAAGGCATCCAGCATTGTCTCTCTTGCTTCGCTTTTCACTTGTCTCCCTTCCCTATAGATTTCCTGTCTCTCTCCAGGTCGATCGGAGAAAGGCCGACAATTGCCAGTACTGTACTTGTTGATACCGTTCTATATACAGAGGTGATCCCTATTGCCAGTCGCCGGTTTATCTTTTCTAGGATTCCTATATATTTTTTATATTTCAGTGTTCCCCCCATATCGGAGTGGCATATAGGATTGCAGAGGTCACCGCGCTGCTCAGGATACTTTTGACTTTTGGGCCACCGTTTTTTGGCATTATTCTCATTAATAAATTTGCATGTTATAAGCTTTATCAGCAATTCTGTGCTATAATTTTCAAGTTCTTATCTAGGTATACCCCGAAGTATCTCACAGTCACAACGGCCCTACTGGCCTACTCTGCATTATTGAGCTTAATTTCCGCATTCTTCGCCCGGCTAAGATCAGAAGTTCTGTTTTTTTTGCTGCTATCTAGTGTCCATTCTCTCCAGCTTGGAGACCACCCTTGTGAATATATACTGGGCCTTTTCATCAAGTTCTTTCCTGGCCTTTCATCTCACGACTAAAGCTAGGTCATCCGCGTATGCTATAAGAAGTATTTGTTGACTTCGCCTGGGTTAGTTTGGGTTAGTTTGCCAATACCAAGATCAGTTCTTCTACAATTGCTTTTTGTAGCAGATCGTGGGCAGTCCTACATCTGTTTAAGTTTAGCGGTGTGACTTTTATGTTTGCTGCGTGAGCAATTTGTGCGCTATTGAGCGGGGTTCTCGCCCTCATCATCCGTTGTCTTAGACTCCATCGATATTTGTTGTGTTAGCCTTCTTTTGCTTCTAGACAAGGCACGTCGGAAGAATTTGCATCTACCTGTTCCAGCTTTGTGTCCCTGTTCTTTGCACATCGGACAAGCTTCTTCGACCTCATATTGTTTGTTATTGTGCCCTTTTCGCCACCATTTATAGCAGTTTCCTCCTGTCCGGTCCATTGCACCTGCTGGATATATGGTCGTATGAACAACACGTAAAGCACTTTTAAACTTTCAGTCTCCTCTCCAGCTTGCACCTTACCAAACTAATGCAAATTTCAGCATGTTCGGAGAGGAGTTATTTCGTCTTTTCCTTATCCAAAATTATTGTAATCGTTTGCGTTCGGCCTGAGGGCTCTAGCGTGCCTATTTTGTTTTCGATTGCTTCCGCAACCTCCTCCTTCATTGTTATGGCATCCATGCCTTTGATGTAGATAGCTTCTCTTGGCCTACCCTCTGCTCTATCCTTTAGCTTCACCTCCGTATCTTGATATGCGTTTTTAATTATTTTTCGTAGTTTTTTGAGAGCCGCTTCGTCTTTATCTGTGGTAATGATTGGCTTCCCAACCTTGGACTGTCGTATGGATTTAATAATTTGGCTTTCATTTGTGTTTTTAACGTACCCCTTCACTCTTTCAACTTTCTACCTCTTTTCGGTTTGCTCGTCTTAGTTGTTGTTTGTCTAGCCTCTTGGTCAGTTTTGTAAATCCTAGTTGTTTATATTATTACATTGGTATTTGTTCCTTGGAATATCAATTTCACCATTTTCCTACACTTTTCGAGGCTAATTTGTTTGATGTGGTGAAGCGCCACCCATTCATCGTTTCTTGTCTCCTCGCGGAGCCTTACCAGCACTTTCCCTCGTCGGTGGCCCCTTGTATAGCGTTAACCGTTTTTTTCCTCGCAATGACGCTCTTCTAGTTCCTCTTATAGTTTTTGTCTGCTCCAGTACGCCGAAATCCTCCATTATTTCTAAGTATCTTTTTCTGTATTCTCTCTTTCAGAGGTAAGCTTTTTTTGTCCAATTCAGTTTCCTAGATGCATAAAATCTTTAAAGCTCGGCTCTTTCTTTAGAGTCTTTATTATTTCCTCCGCAGGTCTATAAAGGCTCCTCCGTTTGCGTGTCCGTATCGGACATCATTTTGTCTGTGCTCACATATCTGCGGATTTCTAGATTGGTTTGGGTTTTGTTAATATCATCTATTTGTCCTACTGAGTTTTCTTGAGATCTCCTTGAATGTTGTGTAAACCAAGAATGAAAATTTCAGTTTAACAAATTCTAAGAAGAACCATTTTATGCCTGACGGTTTTAGAGATATTCGCAAATCCAACGTGGGTGCGTGACGTCACAATCGCTCGAATACCGAAGACTCAGACTCTAGTAACATCCTGCGACTCTCACTTGAATACAGGTTGTTTCGAATAGGTGAAACTTGGCTTTTGGTTTTGAACCAAAGTACACAGAATGAGGAAAATAGTGGATAAATAATTAATAAATAATAATGGAACACATTTCACACATTCTGAAGTGCATTCAATCACCCTAAATACTAGGCAAGTACACTAAATACTTCAGGCAAGGAGAGTCCAAATTCATTCCTCAGTACCTTCTCCAGAAATCAGAAAAATTCTCCCAAAGTGAAAAATCCATCCCAACTCCATATAGAAAAAAAGTCTTCCTTTTTCAGTGAATACCATTATGTTTTCATTGTCAGTCTATACAATTTCTCTCTTTCCCAAATGATAACCGATATCGAATGGATATTCTTAGGTTCAAATGAAGATTGAGTTGACACTCTATCTCTTTGGAACATCCATTGAAACATCAGATTTCTTGCAGCAAAAGGTTCTCGTTTTTATTCGATACAAATATCCTAAAGTGAATCCAGATGATGTTCCAATGGTATTCCATAGCTGGTAAACTGTAAACTTAACCCAAGTAACAATCCGACGTCATTTGACGTAATATTACGTTAAAAATGTTCTACCTGACGTCGACATACGACGTTCTTAGGACTTCCTGACGACCAAAATTCGACTAAAATAGGGAATGAAATTTCAGTCGATTCGACGTCGGAATCCGACTTTGAGTCTTTAAGCCGACCTAAACACTACGTAATTTGACGTTGGGAATGCTATACCATTTCCGACTTGAAAAGTCAGGAAGATCTAATTAATTATACATAAACTGTACTATTTTAAAAATTGGTCTAAAGATTTTTCCCTATTTTCTACCAAATGTGGATATATTATTTTGGAACCATAACAACACAAAGTGACGTCAACTATTTTATCTCGTTGTAATATAAAGGTTCTTGTAACTTTTTAGTGCATTTCACAAGTTCCTCTGGTCAAAATTAATAAACGGAGGTGACTTTATTGATAAAAATAGCTAAAGTAAGACTAAAAACACAACCGCCTTTCCAAAAATTAGTAAAATTTAGAAAAATATAATTTTTCCGCAAACGTCAAAAAATGACGACTTTTTTAACCTCAATTCTTAATGTTGAAGTTTGACTTCACCAGTGCCGTATCCAGGGGGGGCAAAGGGGGCATTTGCCCCACCCAGAGCAACAACCTTTTATTCCTTTTGTGTATTTCTCAAAAATATCTCAAATAAAAAATAATTTCTCTACTCGCATGCGCAAAGTTATTACTTTGAACACTTATTTGCGTGCGCAAAGTTGAACTTTGCGCACGGAAACTCATTGCGCACTCATTTTTGTTTCACATAATTACAGTATTTACTATTTATGCAGTGATTTATACTCGATTTTTCAATGTTTTGTGGGTTTCTGGATAAACTAATACATACCTATTCAAAAAGAAGGGTTCAATGTTATTTCTGTTCCAAGAAAGGCATTCAGGTAATGTTTAGCTTTTTTAATTTGACACTTTTCGTATGAGGAGCAAGAGGAGGAAAAATCCAGAAAAAAAAAACAGGTGTGAAGTCAGGTGACCATTGGCGTGGGGAGCCACCAAGTTACCAACTCACATTCCTTTGGAGTATCGGATCATAAAAGTTGAACATAGTAAGTTTATACTCCTCCATATACTTCCCAAATTAATGGTGTTGCAGAGAGAATGAATCAGACACCACTGGACAAAGTGAGATCTATGATGATAAATGCAAGCATAAATTATTGATGAGATATTTTGGGAAGATACTGGACTTGTTGCTATGTAATACTAATTTGAAGAGTCACATGAAAAAATATCATCCTGATAAGTGTAGTCTCAAAATTTGGCAGGAAAAACAAATTTCAAGTAAACCTCACTAGCACAACCACTGTTGCAACTAAAGTCAAGTTGATCACTGAAAAAAACACATAACACATTGAACTAAGGGCAATATTTATCTTAGATGACGATCCTTGAGGGTGGTCTATCAAGTCAATTCTAAAAAGACAATGCTTCCTCGAGGTCCAAGGAGACCTCAAGGAGTGACTATAAATTTGGGCCTAAGAGAGAAAATTACAAGCTTTGAGCATCTGGAAACATTTAAGATTAGGGACAGCTCCTCTGGATGCTATGCAAATCTTCAAACACTCGAAGAAAAAATATTGTTATTGTTCCTAACACTTGCGCAAAGTGTCTTTCCCACACTGAAAGCTTCTCAAAACTCCGCTTCGCGTGGTTCGTCTTTTTCATGCGAGAAAGTATCACTCTGCGCAGTCGTTGGAAAATAACTATTTTTATGTAGGTATGTATTACACACTTTTGAATTTAACTTTAGTTTGGTCTTGTGTTTTGTGTTACATGTTATTTTTTTTTTGAAAGTCGATTTCTCAGGAAAATAAATAATTTCAGTTATAAACCTCTTATCGTTCCAATGACCAGCCCAAATATTTTTTCAGTGGCGGCTCGCAGGTTAATAATACAGAACCATGACACTACCTTATTTTTTGGTA